AAACCAGTCCAGCTCGTCCCCACCTCCCTAACCTGTTCTTCCTCCCACCTATCCCCTCCTCCCACCTCAAGCCGCACCCCCATCTCCTACCGACTAACCTCATCCCGCCCCCTTGACCTGTCCGTCCTCCCTGGACTGACCTATCCCCTCCCTAACTCCCCACCTACACTCACCTTTACTGGCTCCATCCCCGCCTCTTCGACCTGTCTGTTTCCTCTCCACCTATCCTCTCCTCTATCCATCTTCTATCCGCCTCCCCCTCTCTCCTTATTTATTTCAGAAACCCCTTCCCCTCCCCCATTTCTGATGAAAGGTCTAGGCCAGAAATGTCAGCCTTTCTGCTCCTATGATGCTGCTTGGCCTGCTGTGTTCATCCAGCTCTGCACCTTGTTGTCTCTTAACTTAAACCTCATTTTTTTTGGAATTTTGTCTGTAGTTCACTGTTACAAATGACTTTCTTACCTTTATTTCTTTCAAACGTCACCATTACAGAACTAAAACAAAGCTATGTTACCTGAACTTAAAAATCCAAATTCCCAAATGATAATAATTGAACTTTACCATACAAGTTACCCAAAAGAATAATATTTCCTAAACTCTTCAGTATCTGTGGAGAGAAATCAGTTAATATTGTGTCCACTTCTTCAGTTTTGTTTCCAAAAATATTCATATCCATCTCAATTAATTTATACTTTCAGACTTGCTGCTTTGGCCCTCAAAGTTCACCGTATTCCTGTAACTTCTCGATACAAATTCCCCTATTCATATTCAGTGACACTCCTTTGACCTTGTCACCTTTTCATGGCCTCCATACTTTCAACATGTAAATTACAAATAAGGCAATTTCTTTGGTTCACTTCTTTGCATTCCTCGCCACTCATATCCACGTTCCCTTTCCCAGCTCCAATTCCTTCCATAGCAGCTCTTGGACCAAAAAAAAATTCTCTTCCCCCAATAGCTTTCCAACTCTATTTTCAAAGTTCCACCTGCTAGGACTTAATCTGAAACTCACCATGACATTTCTGCAGCTACCAATCTGATGAATGACACATTCAATGTCCTGTTCCAATTAAAAGCATTGCTCTCTCTCACTTTGGTCAAACTCTGGTGTAGCTCTCACTGTCAATGTCAAGTTTCAGTATCAGTCCCCCTGACTTTTCTGCACTGCCAACCATCCTATTTTCTCCTCTGGCCGCTGCCACCATTCCATTTCTTGGCCAGCAGGCTCCATTCTTCTTCCCTGGCAGCTTTCAAAAGCTGAACTAGATCATTCACAAACTTGCGTTTGACAAGATGAGTTTCCATCCACATATTCATCCAACCTACCTTCAAGATTGTTACAGAGATAGTAGGAACTGCCGATGCTGGAGAATCTGAGATAACAAGGTGTAGAGCTGGATGAACACAGCAGGCCAAGCAGCATCATCAGAGGAGCAGGAAAGCTGACGTTTTGGGTCTAGACTCAAAATAGACCCAGATTTTTCTGAAGGGTCTAGACCCGAAACGTCAGCTTTCCTGCTTCTCTGATGCTGCTTGGCCTGCTGTGTTCATCAAGCCCCACACCTTGTTATCCCTACCTTCAAGATTGTCGTCTTCAACCTTTGTAAGATCACCTGATTATGTCTCTGCTCTCATCATCTGCTGAAACTTTTATGCCTTTGCTGCCTCTAGATTTTACTATTCCATTGCTGTTCTGAGCCATCTTCTTCTCTTCACAGCTCAATTTGGGGCACCAATATTATAGCTCACGTCAAGTCACTTTCATTCACCACCAATGTTCAGTATCCAGTCAGATGCTTCCTCTCATCAATGCCTCAAGTGTAAAAAATTGTCACTCCTGTTTTCAAGACCCAACTTGGTCTTGACCTCTCCCTGTCTCTGTAACCTCCACCAGTTCCTTAACCTTCCCAAAATGCAGGCCCTTCCAATTCCGGCCTCGAGTATCTATGATTGTGATTAATCCACACTGATGGTTGTGTTTTTAGCTAACTTGGCCCCATGTCCTTGACTTAATTTGCTGAACTTCTTCACATCTCTACCTTTCTTTCTTTAAAAATGTTCCTTAATACCCAACTGTTTGACCAAGCCTTCAACTATCTTTCTTCATATCTTATCTGGTCCAGTGTCAAACTGTTTGATCACAATCCTTTAAAGCACAATGGGATGCTTTCCTGAATTAAAGGTGTTACTTAAATGCAAGTTATGTTGCATTTACCTGCAGTCCACATTATGGCCATAGATGGAACTATAATGTGGCTACATAAGATAATAAATGTCACGTATTAGCTTGGAGTAACAAAACAGACTTCTCTAAATTGAGCATTCAACTCACCATGTCTTTTTAGATTATAAACGCATGATGGCTCTGCAGCAGTGAAACAAAAAAGTGCTGGACTTTACAGCGGGTCAGGCAGCATCCATGGAGGGAAAGTAAGCACCTCAAACAATTTATTTGTGGCTTAACTGCACTGCACCAGAAATGCTCTTTTCACATTCCCTCCCTCCTACCTCAAATCACTGTTTTATGTATCCTTCTTAAGCCAAGTACTGTAGGTAAACAACGATTTGCATTTATATATTACCTTTAATATTGTAAAACATTCTAAAAGGTGTTTCCCGGAGCATTATCAATCAAAACATGACACCAAGTCACAAAGGGAAATGTTAAAATATATTCCATCAATCGAGTTTAAGGAATGCCAAGAAGGAGAAAAAGAAAGGTGTAGGGATTTATGAGGAAATTCCACAGCTTTACAGAACATAGAACAGTACAGCACAGTACAGGCCCTTCAGCCCACGATGTTGTGCTGACCTATTATCGTACTAAGATCAATCTACCCTGCATACCCTACATTTTACTATCCTCCATGTGCCTATCCAAGAGTCGCTTAAAAGTCTCTAAATTATCTGACTCCACGACCACTGCCGGCACCGCATTCCACATGCCCACCACTCGGTGTGAAGAACCTACCTCTGACATCTCCCCTTTTCCTTCCTCCAATCACCTTAAAATTATGCCCCCTTGTAATAGTCATTTCCGTCCTGGGAAAAAAAGTCTCTGACTATCCACCCTATCTGTGGCTCTCATCATCTTGTAAACCTCTATCAAATCACCTCTCATCCTTCTTCGCTCCAATGAAAAAAGCCCGAGCTCCCTCAACCTTTCCTCATAAGACCTGCCCTCCAGTCCAGGCAGCATCCTGTTAAATCTCCTCTGCACCCTCTCTAAAGCTTCCACATCTTTCCTATAATGAGGTGACCAGAACTGAACACAATTTTAGTCTGATGTACTTTTCTTTTCCCGATATCTGCAAATTGATGATCTCTACCTTGCTTCTTTGTCCAGTTGTCTTTCTCATCCACTGCCTCACCTTCTGCATTCCTACCTCGCTTGCTGTGGTCCATTCATTTATGTTTCACTCTGAATAGCTCATGAGGGACTCCTTCATAAATAAGGCTCATATAAATGAAGAAGTGAATTTTAAAATTTGCAAATGCCCAGGAAAAAGGAACTTTTTAGTTACTTATATAGAATGGAAATGCTGAGACTACTTTCCTTGAAGAGAGATTAAGAGCAGATTTGATAAACGTATTGAAAGTTGTGAGAGGACTGGATAACGTAGTTAGGGAGAAACTGTTTCCATTAATGGAAGAATCATGAACAAGAGATCACAGATTCAAAGTGATAAGTGAAAGAAGCAATTGTGACATAAAAGCAGCTTTTCATACAACATGTGACTTGCAGCTGGAATGCACTGTCTGAGCCAGCCTGCACTCTCTTGTCAAGCAACCCATCTAAGAGCGAATTTGATGTTCTCTGAAAAGGGAGGAATATGGGAGGCTGAGGATTGACACTACTATATTACTCACAGAGAGCTGTTTCAAAAACAATGGGCTAAACAGCCTCCTTCTCTGCTACAACAGCGAATTAGAGTCACACAGCATGGAAACAGACCCTTCAGTCCGACTCGTCCATGCTGACCAAGCTTCCCAAACTAATTTAGTCCCACTTACCTGCATTTGGCCCATATTCCTATAAACCTTTCCTATTCATATACCTGTCCAAATGTCTTTTAAATGCTGTAACCGTACCTGCATCTACCACTTCCACTGGCAGTTCATTGCATATAAACACCATTCTGTGTGAAAAATTTGCCCCCCAGGTTCCCTTTGATTTTCTCTCCTCTCACCTTAAAATCACGCCCTCTAGTTTGAATTCCCCTGGCACAGTGAAAAGACCTTTGCTATTCACTTTATCTATGCCCTTCAAGATTTTATAAACCTCTGTAAAGGTCACCCCTCAGCATCCTACACTCCAGTAAAAAAGGTCTCTGCCTATCCAGCCTCTCCTTTTAACTCAAACCCTCTAGTCCCAGTAACATTTTGTAAATATTTTCTGCACTCTTTCCAATTTAATAGTATTCCTCCTATAGCAGGGCGACCAGAATGTGTATAGTACTCCAAAGGTGGCCTCACCAACATCCTATACAGCAGCAACATGACATCCGAACGCCTATAGTCAGTGTAAGCATGCCAAATGCCTTCTTCACCACTCTGTCTACCTGCGACGCCACTTTCAAGGAACTATATACCTGAACCCCTGAGGTCTTTTTGTATGACAGCACTCCCCAGGGCCCTACCATTAACTATGTAAGTCTTTCCCTTGATAGTCTTACCAAAATGCAACACCTCGCATTTATCTGAATTAAATTCCATCTGCCATTCCTCAGCTCATTGGCCCAGCTGATCAAGATCCTGCTGTATTCTTTGGTAACTTGTTCACTGTCCACTACACCACCAATTTTCGTGTCATTCTGCAAGTTTCGGTGAGAGGAATGATAAATTGCCTTGCTGCGAAACTAATGTTTTCTAATTGTTTAGGGAGCGACTAATTTCAAAAAAACAAATTTTCAGAGGTTGTAAAACTCAAACCATGAAAGCTGAAATTTAATAGTTCTATCTTATAGTAACACTTACTGAAGTATTTCAGCACTTCCTACCTTCATATGGATGTTCACATGGACCTTCATCCTGGGTCATATACCTCTTCCATCTGTCATACACCGTCCTTTCTGCTATGATACTTTGTCCTTGTCCAACAGTCAATTTATATTGAGAGGCACTAGTTAATACTTTACCACTGCAATGCCACCACAAAATTGGTATTATTGACCCACAGTTAAATAGCTTTAATGGTGGTTGTTTGGCACTAATATTCAGACCAAGACACATGCTGCTGCTTAGATGGAAAAGACGATGCTTTGATACCCATTTCCATAGCATGTTACTTGATGGCTGACTGCAGTCGTCAAGGATAAGCACTTGGTTCTTCACGGTTATGCACTTGTTGAGATGCTCACTTTGCAGAATAAAAATGTTGTTACCTACAGAAAAAGAGAGGAAATGTAATTTAGCAACCACATGAAACAACTTGGTAAACCATAGTTTATGGAATATGAAAACAAATTAATACACTGTCAAAACAATTAGTGTTTCTTTCATGGCACACGCTTCCAAATAAGTTATATAAAACATGTACTTGTTGCCACAGTTTCTTCATTTAATGGTACTACAGGGCTCTGGATTGATGAATACAAGGAAATGATGAGAAAATTAATTAAGATTTTAAATGTTTCCAAACACTTTGCTAACTATGAGCTCAAATTATTTGTCAAAATGAATTTCAACTTGGGCTACACTTTGGAATCATATCCTACTTTTCCAGTCATTGGACCACAGCACCTGCTTCCATCTGAATTTATTCAAATGGATCAGCATGTGGCTAGACCAAAGTAGAACAAGTGATCACATTTGCAGCCAATTTTTCAAATGAAATGGAGATCATTGCATGTTCTAAATTAACCGTATTGTGCCAACTAGCATGTTATTCTTTGTAATAGCTAATGTTATTTTGAAATAGAAGACTGACAAATGTGTTTCTGGATTGCATTCTCAAGATTATTTATGAACAAATATAATTTTGCCCCTGCAGAAGAACCTGGTTAGGTGTCATTTGCATTATTGTACTTGGTTTTATACTGCATGTATTTATTTATGCAAGTAATGAGCAATATTGAGATTTTGGAAAATATTCATCAAATTGATTTTCTTGTTTAAAATACCTTGGCTACTCAGATGGACTTAAAGAACTGTTCTATGTACTTCATACAGCAAGCTGTTCTAACCTGGAATGCACTGCCTGAAAAACAGTGGTGGAAGCAGAACCAACTGCAATATTTACAAAAGAACCAGATAAATACTGAAAAATCACAGAATACACAGGGGCAAGGAGTTAGATGAGGGAACTAACATTATTGTGAAAGCTCTATCAAATTTCTGGCACAAGCAGAAGTGGGCTGAATGGCCTTCATCATGCTGGATCATTCTATTCTACAATTTCAATTCAAGAGCGAGAGAGTAGGGGAAAGGGCAGAATGCCAGTGACAGAACCTAATGTCAATTTAAGCTGAAAATAGTCCAAAAACACTTTCATTGTTAAACAACATGAAGCATTTGTAAGCAAGTGTAAAGAAATGACATTTTAATGCTTTAATATAAGCTGCAGTGGAAATATTACCTCTTATTTCTGTTTATCAAAAAAGATAGAAATTGGTCACAAGTAATGAAACAATGATGTTTATAAAAGTTATATTTTAAGTCTGTAGCTTTAAATATAGGGTATTTGAAGTGGGCTGTGGCATTCGCTGTGCAGTTTGCCCAACCGAAATCTTGGGTGATTTGATCATTAGAGATCAAAGTTCCTTTTACTGAGAGAAGGTGCGAAGTACTTATAGGAAAATGGCACCAGTTTTGGAATTTGTAGCGAGTAGATACTTAGTTTCCCAAAGTCCCAGAAAAGTGTTGAAGATACTGGTTGTAGACAGTTGTGCTGTAAATGATCCATTGAATTCCAAGTTGGAAAGGGAATTAGGATCACAGATAGATAACTAGCTATTTATCTTGATACAAGGTTTCCATGTTACAGAATACAGGCTTCCCTACAAATCAACAAATACAACGGACAGATAAACAGGAGGTTGTGTGTAGTCAGGAAGGAAGGTTGCTTGACTAATGCAAAAGATGGTCATTGAATTTGCTACTCAGTGAAGCAGGGTTACGGGAACACACTGTAAAGTGGAGGCATCTGTGAACTGTTTGCTATAAGGACTATAATTTATAGAGAGTGTGATGTGTGGCAAGTAGAAAAGGGGAATGTTCTTTACTGTAGTTTAAAGTTAAAATTGCCTTCCAAAAAAATTAATCAGTAGTGTTTTAATCATTTTACTGCAAAGGTTTAAAAACATTAACTGTGCTATGTTTTACTTTCAGCTAATAACTTGAAGTTCAAATTTCTTTTTAAAAGTGGTCGATCTCCATGGGGATTAAAATTATGGCAGCTTCCTGTCATTGACACAAAAATCAGATTAGCTATTCTTCACTCCAGTGTCTAGGGATCAAATTCAAAAACATTGCAACAGGGGTTTACCAGGATTTGAAAAAAAGTTGATCAAAAATTTAATAAACAAAATCAATGCCAAGTCCAAACCAACTTGATCAAATTTGAAATTTGAAACGCCCATTCCAAAATTGGTTTAAAAAGGAGATATTTTTGCCATATGGATATTACTTAAATGTCCAAGAATGCAAAAACTGAACTTCAGTAAATGCAGTAAGTGGGAAAAATGAAAATGGCTTGTACTGTGCCAAAACATCACAGGATCCCTTGAATTTCTATATTTATTGAACAAATATTCATCGCGCCAACATTCTAACAGCAATAACTTAAACTTCGTCTTGAATTAGAGGAAGGGAGTGAAATTTATTTCTGTAAAACATTGTTGCCTAACACCTCCACACCATAAACCCAAATTGGACAATCAAAGCATTGTTTGAATTGTTTTTGGAGAATTTTATTTTAACATATCTAGAAAATAAAAGAATAATTTTGCTTCTTTACAGAATGTCTTGGCCTGAACAGAGCATTTTCCCTGGTTCAGAATGAACAGATGACTTGTTTAGAACCAGACAGAGGAAGCACCCTGGCCTGAGTTTCTTCCAGGAGTACAACTTGGAAGTTTAGACTTGGTCAATATAGTGCTCATTTTGCAGATTAGCTATCCTTGCAATCTAATTTGAATATTTCTAATCACAAAAACTGACTTAAATTTGAATGGCAATTCAAAAATAATTAGAATAGAACCAAGTGACTCAGCCTACAATAACATTTAGCAGTAGGATTCGAGAGTTTGATAGTGTAGTTCAGCAATTTACTGCTGGATTGAGCTGTCTAGTAGACTCCAGTCAGAGGAGAATAATGTAATTGATCGGATCATTACTTTGATGGAGGCTTAGACAGCTCTGCAGGGTTTAAGTGTCAGGCTGGAGTGAGTAATGAGTTAAGCAGCTTTCACACACTTGCTGAGATCTCACACATGCCATCATTCCACTTTCAGGGTGCTGGATACGGTAGTAGTTCAGGATTTGATTAAGAAAACAGCTCTTGTGAGTGATCCAAATGACTGATGTTTTTACCTCCCTTGGCAGCAACACCCTACAGACATACTGCCAACTGTTTACTGCAGGCTGCATGAGGAAATTCGATATCTTTATCCTTTGCCCACAGATTCAAACGTTTAATATTTGTTGAACTCAGATTTACAGCCATTAGTTTGATTTTTGCTCAAATTTTTCTCCAAAATTTCCAAACACCCTTATGTTTAAATAACAAGTGTTTGAACATGTTTCTTAGAATACTTAAGAGGTTATGCTTAACTTTTGCAAGTTCTGCTGAGCAGTTCTTAACTCTTCAGAGAGAATTGCAAGAACTAAGGCCCCAGACCTTTGCAAGCACCTGACCTAACTACTCATTACCTCAATAGTTCTCTCAAAGACTTGCCTGCTATTCATATGGAGAGAGCCCAAGTCCTATATTAAGAAATGGGGTGCAAAGGGACAATATTAGCACAACAGATTTTTAGCTTATTCATCAAATATCCATCTTTCCACTGGTACTTCCTCCCTGGGTGTCCTTTTACTGAGTAGTGCACAATACAAGCATTGTGGCAAGCACAAGTTTAGGTTGCATGTTAAATGCAGAATGCTCAACCAAGTATCACACACTGAGGAGGTGTAGCTGTTTCAGTTTATATCTTTTTTTTGGTAGCGGGGCGTGAAAAAAGGATGTTGTGAGATGATTATGTTTTGGGACTGTAATTCCAGGCAAAAGAGAGACAGAGAGAAATGAAGGTGGTCACATACCCTACTTGGAATTCTGTCCAACATGAAACCAGGATGACTTGATTGCTAACAGGGACAACCCAGGCTGATTTGTTAGGAAGGTGTGGCAAGATGTTCACATTGTAAACAATGGGGCACAGTCCGGAACAACCATTCTGACACTGCCCCTGGTAATTTGTTATTTAATAATTGGGTCATTAGAGTGGAAAAAAAATATGCTGATTATGGATAGACTTTCAGTCTCCGAGTTCTTGGCAGACAAGTGGGGATGGGGTAAACAACTTACTGCATGTGTTTGATTTGGCACTTGTCTGAAGGCTGAGAAAAGCACCATGATATTATGACTCGGCAAAACAAGCAGGAGCAGACTGCTTGGAAGTTAGAAATGATGTTGACTGATTCTTATGGCAACTGCGATTCAGTTGAGAGCAGGATACAAATGATAAATCTGGGGTGGAATTTTTATCCATGATAAAAGTTAAGGGGAGGGGGAAAAAGATATCTTTTCTGCAATTCAGTATATTAATTGTTTGCTAAGTAGGATTTCAATGCTACTTTTAGTTGATTTGAAAAAGAAAACTTTATCACATTTCAATCATTCACTGGGAGTTCAAATATCTCAAGGTTATTAGTCTCAAATGATGATTGCAACACTTTGCAGGTACTGAAAGGCCTTCAACACCAGTGGCATCCCTTTGATTGTTGAGCAATCAGAAACAGATGGCATTTCCAAAGGAGCAAAAGCAGAGGCCGCTAAGTTTCATTGCAGACATTCCAAATGTAATTTACACCATTTCGTTAGGCTGGGCTGTTAGTCATCTTTCAGATGCATGGAGACTCACTAGAAAGGTCTAGAAACGATCCATTATTAAGGCTGTCCAACATCTTGGCAGAGATTTCAAAAAGTAATTGGAGCAAATCAGTTGGCCAGACATCTTTTGTGAAACACAGATGGCACATGGTCAGCTCTTCAGACGTCTCTGGAACATCAATTGAAATCTGTATGTTGTCCAGCTTACATATCTGAAATAAGGTGTTGTCTCCTTCTGGGGTACTTCACTCCTTGAATTTCTCGTCTCTCTCCTGTTCTCTTTTTGCTACTCCATTACAAAGTAAAAGTGGCAGTGAATCATCTAGTAATTTTGTTTCCAAAATGGCCTATAGATTTGGTTTCCATGGTAGGAAAAGATAAGGCTTCAATTTATTTTTTGGTCAGCTAATCTTCACTTACCTCAAAGTGGTTATAGGCACCTGCAGATGTTCAAACACACAATATTAAGAGACATTACTTGATCAATTGGAGTTTCAATGTGCTCACGTTCAAGAATTGGAGGAGTGACCAGATTTTGGGTGGGGATTGATTAAAAATTAAGGGTTTGATGGACAGATAAAAAATTAACTATACTTGGCCACATTGCAGTTACACAGATATTTAGTTTAAGCTCAAGATTTCATACCATGTCATAATGTCATAATTTGCACCCAGAGAGATAATAGTAGCCTGACTATAAATGCAGAGAAAACATAAGGCTTAAACGTCTACTTTTCTTTTCCCTAACTGGCGAAATCAGGATTGGAGCTATTCCACTGCACACTATCCGGCTCTGTCTATTTACATTCTGTAAAACAGTAAGATTTTCAGATAGCTAATATGCTCTTACATCATATTTACCTGCAAGGTATCAGTACTTGTCACAAATTATTTTCTTTAATTGAGAGAATTTATCCCCTCCCTGCTAAATAGCTTTTCAAGTCTTTCATATTGCACTTGTTGGGACAGACAAAATAATTCCAACATTCCAAGGGAATAACAATTTTTACTGCATAAGAAACCAGGGGCTGATTTGTTGGCAAGTGGACTCTAATTGCCATGGAGAATGCACCATGTTTCTGCTGTAAGGTGAATGCTCACTATTGTTCATCATGCTGTGCAAGATCTCTGATAGATTTGCTGTCATCATCCTCTTTCGTAATAGGGATCTATGGAGCCTGTTTGGTTTAGTGTGGTAGGTTATCAAGTGGATTTCATCAATGAAAAGAGGCTCTCACGAGAAACAAAATGTAGTTTGTCGGATGGTAGCAACAATGTTCACATTATACTGACGTGATGAACGTTATGGCAGAGGTTACGAGGAGACCCAGAGGGTAGATCTTACTTATTGAAATCCTTGATACTCTTGCACCAAATCCACACATCCTGATTGTGAATGAGTGCTTAAGGCACTCTTCAACATGAAGCCTTTCAGACCCTTAGACAACAGTTCCTTTTTAAACTCTAATCTTCTTCATGTCTTGATGAATGCAAGATAAAAAGGTTTTGACTGTATTACCTTTTATTTTAAACCACTCATGGGATTCGGGTGTTGCTGGCTGGGCCAGTATTTATTGCCTGCCCTAGTTGCCCTTGAAAAGGTGGTGCTGAGCTGCCTTTTAGAACTGCTGCAGTCCAAGTGCTGTAGGTTGACCCACAATGCTATTGAGGGAGGGTGGGTTTAATTAAAGAATTTGAGCCAGTGACTGAAAGAATGATGTATATTTCCAATTCAGGATGGTAAATAGCTTGGAGGAGAACTTGCAGGTTCTTGTTCTTCTAGATAGCACTGGTCAGGGGTCTGGAGGGTGCATTCTAAGGAGATTTGTTGAATTTCTGCAGTACGTCTTCCACACAGTGCACACTGCTGCTGCTGAGAGTTAGTGGTGGAAGGAGTTGGTGTTTGGGCGTGTCTAAAGCACTACCACCCAAAAAGCCAAAGTGTTTTTTTTCCAAAAAATACTTTTTTTTATTGGACAACAGAAATATACTCAGCAATCTGAGGCAGGATTTAAATTAGTTTTTTTTGTTCAAAATTTAATTGCTGGTGGCAAGAGGAAAATCAGAGCAATGGCAGTCATCCACTGTACTGAATGTGGTTAATAAATTCAAAAGATTGATGTGAAGAGGTACAGCTAATATGAAGATCAAATAAATAAAAGGTAGAAGGTCATGATAATGCTTTAAAGTGCGGATGTAAGCATCAGTCCACCAGAAAAAGACTTTGAATGCTGGTTTGCAGCTAAATGATTGCAGAAACATGGTTTGAGTTAGACTGTATCAAATGTAATTAATCATGTGGCAACTGCTATTTCAGACCATTTATTGTGTTTTCTTGATCCTTGAGATGTGGGCATCACTGGAAGACCAATAACACTCAAGAAACTTGACAAATCCAGGCCAAAGCAGCTTGCTTGTTTAGCCCTTCAAGCCTAATCTGCCATTTAATGAAATCATGACTGAACGTCCAGCTCAGTACCCTGTTGCTGTTTTCTCCCCATACCCTTTGATCACCTTAGCCCTAAGAACTAGATCTAACACAAAAATTGGAGGTCTCGCATCATCTGTGGGAACAAAGCAAAGTTAACATTTCAAATCATGAAACTCTCCATTCTTCCCACAGATGCTGCCAGAACTGCTAAGTTTCTCCAGCAATTTCTGCTTTTGTATCAAATATTCAGCATCCACAGTTTTGTTTTAAACTAAAGATTTATTTGAAAACATTCAACATTTTGGCCTCAACCACTTTCTGAGGCAGAGAATGCCACTGGATCATTACTCTCTGTTGAAGAAATTTCTCATCTCAGTCCTAAATGGCTTACCTGATACCTTTAGGTTGTAATCCACAGTTCTGTATTCCCTGGTCATTGGGAACATTCTTGCTGCTTTCAGCCTGTCTAGTCCTGCTAGAATTTTATACGTTTGTATGAGATCATCCTTCTAAACTCCAAATGAATATAATCCAAACGGATCCAGACTCTCTTTGTATGTCAGTGCTGTCACCCCAAGAAAGTCAGTCAGTCTGGTAAACCTTTATTGTATTTCCTTTTCTCCATAACATCCTTCCTCAGATAAGGAGGCCACACTGTTGACAACACTCCAGCTGTGGTCTCACCAGGATCCTACACAATTGCAGCAAGACATCCCTGCTCATGACGGTCATCCGCAGTACTGAAATTAGTAAATCCAAAAGTCTGATGCGTGTAGGTACAGCTAATATTGAACACCAGTAGGAGGACATCGTGAAGGAAAAATATATTTTAAAATTAACTTTAAAAATCTGCATCTGAAACATAGTGTACTCAGCAAATATAACGGAAACTCAAATCATGCTAACTCTATCGAATATGAAACGGTAGTGTGTATTGTATCTGATTCGCCCCGCAATCTTTGTTAATAATCAAAAAGAAAATCCGACTTTTGGTGCCATAGCGCAGAAGAATAAAGGGAAACTTCCCAAGCTGTTTTAAGAATGGTAGGTGAATTCCACGCACTTATAAGTTGAAGTCAAATCCCTGCCGAATTATCCTTGAAAACATGAAAGAACAATCGCGACATCTCCATAATTATTAACAGGCACATGCATTAGAATGAATAGCGATTAAATATATCCCTACGCAAACAATCACCTCCAATTTAATTTTTTGTTTTGTGGAATTGGCAGAAACATGTCGAAATTACAAGAATAAAAACTGTTAATTACAAACGAATCTGCGGGCAGGGGGATCAGACTGTCCGCTACCATGTTTTAACTGAAGAACATGTTCAGAACAAACTGAGTCAAATCCGAAGTCAACTTTAACAACGTACACGTGTTTAAAAGGTTTACAGTTTGTTTATCAATAAATGGGGGCGGCTTCACCATTTTTGGGACTTTAGAGACTTTACGCTAACTTCTCGCAATGTGTAAATCATTGCAACTGAAATTGACTGTTGAAATTGCACAGACACGCTGAAGAACCATGATATTTCTACGAGCTGCGCCATCCTTCAGTGCATTAGCGGCTGCCGTTCTTGTGCGTTCCCCACCCGCCTGAACACGAGAAGTTTTTTTTTGTTTGAAACCAGCCGGCTCCACTCACCCAACAACCTCAACAACTCGTTTTTATTCAGCACCGAGGCGGCTGTGTATGTTTCCTCAGAGGCGGCTCCAATGTAACAGGACCACAGCAACATCCACTGCAATAAGCGAGCCATTTGGCTGAAGCTGAGAACTTCACCGTCCACAGAGCTGGTCTTAAGGTACCGCGTCTCCGACAGCAGAACGAATCCAGTTAAACTCCTAGGGTCTTCTCTGGGCTCGGTACGTCACCGCTCTTAATGTTACAGCCATATTTCCGCCTCAAATTTAAATTAACACGCCCTCTCTCACTGTCATCGATGGTTCTCTGTCACACCAGGTATATGGTCCCTTTGATTTCTCTCATGTGGTCCATACGTTAGCCAACAAATTTATACCATAAGTATAAACCCTCTTGCAATACAACAGTCGATTTATAAAGCAAAGGCTCTAGTATTTAACATTTAGTAATCCACATTTATATAGTGCCTTCACCCGAGCAAGCTGTCCCAAACGGCAGCACTGGATTTAAGTCACAAATTGACCGGAGCCAAAAGAAAATATATTAGGATAAGTTTCTAAAAAAATTTTTGCCAGAAAGAACATTTTAAATAGGGTCTTAAAGTAGCAAAGAAAATTTGAGTTTAAGTAAGGATTTCCAGAACAATTTGCTATTCCAAAGTGTCATATCTGATTCTGTCTGTTTCTCCGTCCACAAATGCTGCCAGACCTGCTGAGTTTCTCTGGCATTTTCTGTTTTTGTTAGGATTTCCAAGGCTTAGGGTTTTGATGATTCAAGGAAATTCAGCCAACAGTGGGAAAAGGTCCTTAGAATGTACAAATTCTCAAGTTGAAGGAATCTAGATTTCCTGGAGGGTTGTTGTGCAACAGTAGGATATGGAGAAAGGGAGTGTGAGGTCATGGAGTGATCTGAACATGAATTTAGAATTGTGGCATTGGTGAATTAGGGGACAAAGTAGATCAGTGTTACAGAGGTAATGAATGAACAGGACTTGATGTTGGTTCCACAAGCAGAACTTAGGACAGGTTTATGGAGAATAGGGGATAGACACTGGCCAAGAAAATATTGGTGTGGTTAAGTCTGGAGGTAGCAAAAATATTTATGAGGATTTCTGGAAATAGATTAAACGAAAGCAGTTGCAGAAATAGCAAATATTATAATGGTGAAATCAGACAGTCTGCAGTAGAAGGGGTATGGAGCAAGAAACAGTGGTCAGGGTCAAATCAGATTGTGAGCAGTACACAAACACATTAACTGATTTGGGTCTTGCAGAAAATGGTGGACAGGCTTTAAGGAGTTGGGAGTTACTTGCTACAGAACTTCTAGCTTCTGTGTTATTTGTAACTTTTTCCTTCTCCTCATCCTTTAGCAGTACTATTGATGATAGTTATCCTCTGCCACCTAGTCCAGGTGGCCGGTGTTAATACTGGGACCTCCAAAGTGAGTATTGGCAAGGTATCAACATCGTGCCATTACACTCAATCCAAAAGCTGCACGTACCCCACATTCTGGTCAGGAAAAGAAATATTACCATATTCTATTACCCGTGCTGAGGTAAACTGATGCAAACTACTGCTACAGCTGAGACTTGTTTGCTTAATACTAACAATGATCTGTATTGAATATTTGTGCTGGGCAAGGCTCAGTTATTCAGTGAATTGAGCAAACAGAACAACGAGTGTATTTTTGTTTCATTTAAGTGTGTAATTTATAGATGATTTTTGTCATATTTAAAATATTCACTAACTCTCCTTGTGTAACAATAAATACTGTGTAACAATTAAAACTGTATATTTATAATTCATTTCTGAAATGTCTGTGAAAAGCTTGCAAAGTTTTTGATAAAAACTATGATCAAATTATTGATCCCTTTCAAACTCAAGCACTTTTAAAAAACTTTCAACCAACAATTGCTTAATTTATAAATGGAAATTAAATTCATTGCTTGAAACCAAACTAACTTTCCTGCAGAAAGGTATTGACTTTGGCTTTTTCTCTTTCCAAAGCTACAAAAAGCCAATGATACTCAGGACATTTTTATGCAAGTTAATGAAGGAAAATATTAGATATTTCAAAGTTGTGCCATCTGGACTTAAAAAGCAACTTGGAGAATTGGTTTTCTGCCAGAGTTGAGGCTATTTTGTCAGCTTTCTTTAAGCCAAGTCAAATCTCATGTCAGGCCCACAGTAATAAATCCATAATGTACCCACTATATTAACATGCAGCAAGCCTATTATTTTAACCTAGTAGAGGAAGGAAAGATTTTCGTCTGAAAACCAAAGTGTTCATTTAATGCAAATTCAATGCAGCTTGAGGAGAATCTAACATTTGTAGGTGTCATGACTCTTCGACTCAGAAGTCCTTTATGAAAAGTCTGAGGCTCAAAAATTCTGTTGTTTATCCTGTCATCAATTAACTAAGACTTTTTCTTGTGGTGCCTTTACATCATGACCCGTTACCACATTGCGTAAGCCTGTAATATCGAAATTGCAATGTTTTTAAGTCCATTCCTAAACACGTTATCTATTGCCTTTTGAAAATTATATAGTTGAAGACTTGGACTGAACACTATGGGAAGTTAATGTGCTGTTCTTGCATTGTTGCATAGTTCTGACCGTTGTGACTCTTATCTTTTGGTTTAAAGATCAAATACAGGAAGAGAAATGGAGTCTGGCCTGATTTCAGTTTACCTCTATCATGGATCTCCCATAGAACACTGAAATCAAAACCCTTCAATATCAACATGCAGTGTAATACTTTTGAAAAAAAAAATCTGTCTGATAACATGAGTTGAGCTGCTCAGCAAGATATGAGATATTACAATAAAATTCCCAAGTTGAGGTCAAATTAATTAATGTTTCTTTGCAGAACACATAACAATTTTATTTTACATTTTAATACAGATTTTTTAGATAAGGAAGGGGACCTACATATATTGTTATGCTATCGTCCCACTTATATTTAAAAATAAAGTGTAGATTGATCTACCCTTAAATTTCCATCCGTTCCAAGTTTTGAGTGGACCTGTGTTCAGGGACTAAGAGCTGTTCCCAAAAGATAGGTGCTGAGTCATCTTTATAAATGCAAATTGGGATAAATTACAGTGCCATTTCTGTCTGCAACTACTTTGCCAATTCTTTAATACACCGATAAACCATGGTTAATATGAGCTGTACCCAGAAATTTTATTTAAAAGATTCATGTTTGCTTTAAGGTAAAACATTGCAAAAATCAAGGAAATTATTATGTTTTTTCTGAAAAAGGGTCCCGACCTGAAACGTCAACTTTCCTGCTCCTCTGATGCAGCCTGGCCTGCTGTGTTCCTCCAGCTCCACACTGTGTTATCTCTGACTCCAGCATCGGCAGTTCTTACTATCTCTGAAATTATTTTCATATTAGATAGTGATTTTTTGTGACTTAGATAATTTTCCCGCGTACATAGTGGTGATATATTCTCTTATACAGATACAAACAATGCAGTTTTTCTTCATGGTTCTGGAATTTCAAGTCCACCTGAGAACAAGCACAAGGATACTAGTCTTTTTTTTAAGAAAATGCATTATCTTAAAGTGACTTCAACATATCAGTTGCAATGCTGTGAGTCAATATCAGGCACTTCAGACATTTGTAATCAATAGCCTTGAGGTGCTTGGGTCTCAGCAGGTCTAGCTATATGCTCAACAACTTAGCAAGGGTGCCCTGGCAGATGCCGCGTTGGCTTTGTGGGATAAATGTGTGGGAGAATATGGTTCCCCAAAAAGCAGAGGAGGTTGGATCATAGAATACTTTTGAGCCTGAGTCAGATAGATTTTTGACTGACAAAGGGGGTCAAATGGAATAAGCAAGAAAGTAAAAGCTACAACCAGATCAGCCACAAATATACCAAATGGTGGTTCAGGTTGGAGTGATCAAACAGCTCATGCCTGCTTCATACCTATCTATTTGTATGCTTCAGGTGGCAAGGTAGGCATTGGTTCAGGAGCTATCATAGTCTTGAAGAGTCTATGAAGCAGGCTTCTCAAAAGGATGCCAGAGCTGAGGAACTTAAGTAATATAAAGTTTGGAGAAACCGAGACTAAACCAGTGAAGTTTAAAGAGAGGCCTAATAGAGCTGTGACTGAATTTTCCCAGGAACCAACCAAGTGCCAATTTTGCTGAGTTTCATGGAGGGTTTCAGTGCGTGAACCTGAGTGAGTTTTCTCATGCTATTCTCTGCAACGCAATCATTGTCAATGCACTATGCCTCTATGACACCCCACACATCTTATCTTACCTCTCGTTACAGCTGAAAGTATTCGTTGCTGCAAACACCTCCCAGAATGATTGGGTGTTGTGACAATTTTTTAAAGCCCAGCCATACACTAGGTAAAGTGCAACCAGCCAGGAGCTGGCCTTCATAGTACACATAGAACCAAGCTATACAGGTTAACCATCTTTAATTTCATCCCAGATTAGAACCCTGCCCCTCGAAGGGAGTGCTATTTGTCACCATTCCTGGAATCGTCACAAATGTGAAAAATTTAGTCAAAAATTCAGCTTGCTCCTTGTCTTTTTCTGCCCTTTCCTTGTCTTTTCCTGTCATCCTTACCTCTTTCTTTGTTTCTTCATGCTCAATCCTCTTTAACTATTTTCTGAAGGGTCTAGGCCCGAAACGTCAGCCTCTCTGCTCCTATGATGCTGCTTGGCCTGCTGTGTTCATCCAGCCCTGCACCTTGTTGTCTACAATATGCACTGATTGGAATGTCTCACTGGTCTCTCCTGCACCTCCATAAAGATCAGACGCAGTGCTGTTTTCCAATTATTTCCAACCTCTTAGTCCTGGCAAGCAATTCCACTTCTAGTTTACTTGTCCAATCAATTAGCCTGGCTTTTGGGATCTCCTGTAAAATCATCAGGACATTTCTTCCACCTGCAAGAAGGCTTTTGCAGTTTCCACTACTATCTTTTTTTTTGTCAGGACAAAAACCCGTGTGTTCTCTTATACCTTTACAACTTGCCAATTTCCACCTAATCTTACATTGTCTCTTGTTCCAAAATATCCTAGCAAAGAGTCCTCAATCTTTGTCGTGACTCACTAGGGTGGTGTGCTGGAAATCAGGCCCCACTACTCTCAGAGTCATCACAGATTGAACAATTTCATCACTACTAACTGACTGAAAAACTCAGGTAAAAAGAAAAAAGCTCATCAGTTTTGAACAGCTTTAAACACAAAACTGCTTATGATAAACAAAAAGTCTTTAACCAATGGCAAATAAAGGAAATAGGAATTGCCAATGTATAACTTTCTAACTTTAGCTCTGTCCCTTTTTAAATTTCCGTCACTGGGTGCAGTGATAGTTACCTACCTCTAAATTG